CAGGTCGGAATATGATGCCCGAGATGTGAGATACATGTGTTTGGTTCGCGTGTTTGATTTTTTTTATGGGAATGTTACATTCCAAAAGTGAAAAAAGTAATCACATTACCAGACATCTTAAACCCGCTAAGGCCTTAGGTTATGTTAGATTCCTGGTTGCTTATTAACTTTCTTCCAAAAAACCCCATGCTTCAATTAATCGACAATATCATACTCCCTCCGTCCCGAAAAGGTTCGACAAATTGATTGTTCTTGGTCAATGACAATCAACTTTGGTCAATGATATTTTTTAATATGAAATTAATTTGAATATGAAAATTATATCAAAATGTTCCTTATTCAAAATATTATCATAAAAGTATAAAATTTAGAAATTATATATAAAAATATAATAATTAAAATCATTGTCCAAAGTTCGTCATCATTGACCAAGAAAAGTCAATATTTTGCTTAAAATTATTTACTAATGTTCACCAATCTTAGTCATTTGTGCAATTAAACATACTTTGCTTAAAATTAATTTAATTAGTTTTGATTTTAATTATTACTAAGATGTTTTATTTTGCTATAATTTTAATTACTTTAATTATAGGTTGTAATGAGTTTAATGTCTTAAGAGACAAATATTTAAAGGGCACTTAAGTAATTCACCAAATATGCAATATAAGATATCTTTCAACTAAATAACTTAATGTCACATTCCCTTAATTGTAACCAAACACAAATGGGTTATACATTAATCACATTCTCATCTATCTAATATACCCGATAATCTAACATTCTCATGATAATCTGACATTCCTTCAATCAAACGGACCTTATCTATAATAATATTATCTTTGTCTCATGGTGTAAGATACATGTAAGTTTGACACGGATTTTTAAGAAAATGTTACTTAAAAGGTAGATAGAGAATAAAATATGGTGTACACAAATATTACTGAGTTAAAATTATTTACATGAATACATAATATTGATTAAAGTTACAATGAATATAGTGGTATAATAACTTAAGTGTAAAAAATAGAGCATAAGCTATTATGACCGAAGTTACTACTATATTCACTACACACTTAAGAAGTCACATTTCTGTTATTAAATTATACAAATACAAATATATATCGAAATATTTCCATGTCTAATGGCATTTTGTTTATTGGCACGAGGTGATCTCGACTTTGTTGAAGTAACTATATGCTCTCAAGAACTCATCCTACTCTCGCAAAATTTAAATCCCTCTATTTGTTAGATTCCTACAGCCATCTAATTACATAATTAAAAGTATAAACTATGCACCCCGTGCAAGTGTGCAACGCACGAATTAAGAATCTAGTATATAATATGATAGCAATATTAGAACTGATTATGAATAAAATCACATTCATAAAAAATAAAAAATAAAGAAAAAAAAGAAAAAAATATGAATATAATCATATTCAAATTAATAAACGATCGTTTATTATTAGGAAGATTTGACTTTATACCCTGTTTTTAAAATCATTAATGTGTACCACCGTTCAATATAAACCAGTCGACTTTAAACCTAATTTTTTCAAAATTTTTAACTAACGAGTGCAAATATTGTAATATCGAATATGATGTGCGAAGTCTAAAAGTTTAACCTTATTGTTGTTACAATAATGCTTGATGTACCCACCTTATATCCACCTTATACTCACCATGTTTGTGAAGTTTTTTTTTTTGTCTGTGAACTCGGTTCACAAACAATATTTTGTTTGTGCAAAATATTGTGTGTGAATCGATGTTCATAGACAAAAAAAAAACACTTTCACAAATATGGATGGGTACAAAAGTGGGTATAAGAGTGAGTACAAATATCATTTTTGTTGTTACCAATGATTTGTGATTCGCCGTATGTGGTACGTGGTAGTGTAAACATAATGATACTCCGCATAATTTAAAACTACATGCACTATTTAAATTATACTCCATATATTTTTCGCTCCTCTTATGATTTGTCAATTAAGGGCATTTTCATTTATGTTCACGTACGAACAAGATCTCAAAAGTTGAACAATTTGTCTATGAGCAAATAATGAACGAACATGAAAACGTAAAGTTTTAAGCTCGAATTGATTTCAGTCATTTTTTTATGGAACAGCTTCATTTTATTAACTTAGGGGTATTTGGAACTAATTCTGATTCTGCTTCTTTTTTAAAGTAGAAGCAGAATCAGAATCAGTTTTCAGAAGCTGGTCACCCTCAGCTTCTAAAAAAACTGATTCTGGGAGTAAATTAGAGCACCAGAATCACTTCTGCACTTTCACCCAAACATCCCAACTTCTGCTTCTGCTCCCTGAAGGAGCAGAAACAGTTTTAAGAATCAGATCCAAACACCCCCTTAATTATGATATCAAATTCCAATTATACTCTAATTTAGAGTTTATAACTTTATAGAGATTTTTTATTCAAAAAAAAACTTTATAGATACTTTAATTTAGTTTCGGAATATGTAGATTTTGATTATTAAAAATTGAATTGTTTATCAAAGTATTTAACTTTTAAGTTGATTAACAAAAAAGTGTTGACTTTGTAAGTTATTTTGGGACAGAAGAGAGTAATTTATTTAATAAACATACAATCCCAAAAGTTATACTCCTAGAGGCCATTTGGCTCCCTAAAATGGAATATGTATTGACCAAAAGGATACATAACAATCTTTCAGTCAGGACTTTGTGATTGAAATCGTGTTTGGATGCAACCATTTGAGGTAGTTTCCGGTAAAGTTGTTTGATAAAATTATGTGAGCGAAGTGCAAATTATGCCCACAAAATTTTAGCTGAAGTGCAAACCATTTGAGGTGGTTTCCGGTAAAGTTTGATAAAATTATGTGAGCGAAGTGCAAATTATGCCCACAAATTATTTGAGCTGAAGTGCAACCTCTTGTCCCATTGTTAGCGGGACGGAGGGAGTATTTAATAACATTGCGCTAAAATATATATAACAAATGCAGAACATGTTCACACAATTTTATCAAAAAATCCCTGAACCACTTTAAATGGTGGCGGCCGAACAATGATCAGAAAAGTGTTGGTGAATTTTTTCTCAAGGCTACAATAGTATCCGTTCTCTGATTGAAGTCATCGTTATATTTTTCACTCATCTTTAGAAGATATCCTTCGATCAATACCAAATATAGGTGTTTTCGAATTCAATTTTGAGAGCGAGAAATTGGTTGTATGAATAAATAGGTGGATCTTGTGGATACACAAACACGGTAGGGGAAGCACCACTCAATTCTCTAATATCATCAGGAAGTACTTCTCTCTATAAAGATGGGAAAGGATGTGGAACTTGCTACGAGGTAATTAGTAAATTACTACTAATAATTTTAAAAAGGAAAACTCATACTTTGATGAAGTTAAAGAAAAGTCTGCGTTTGTTTGGATTGTGAAGGTAAAATGCAGCGTGAATGAATATTGTTCCGGAGAAAGTATAACCGTAGTTATAACAGATTCGGGAGTATCCGAGACGAATAGACCCCATTTTGATCTGAGTGGCACTTCTTTTGGAGCCTTGGCCAAGAGTGGCCAAGCAGAAGCGCTCCGCAATGCCGGTACTATCGAACTCCAGTATAAAAGGTAATAAAAACCATCATCATCATCGTTGTCAAACGGTGAAAATATCGCCACAATCATTGTGGTGTAAAATTTATATTTTTATTCACTATTTTTACCATATTCTTATATTTTAATTTAATTATCAAGTAGTTATGCATTGTTATGAATGAACATAATATGGTGTGCATGTAGGACGACATGCAATTACAAGGGAACACCGCTGACGTTTACCGTGGATAAGGGCGCAAACGATGAGTATTTTGCTACTCTGATTGAATACGTAGGTGGATCCGGCGAGCTAAGCGCAGTGTACATGAAGGAATGTGCAACGGAGGAGTGGCTTCCCATGGATCATTCCTGGGGTGCGCTGTGGAAGAGATCCAGCTCCACACACCTAGTCGCACCTTTTTGCTTCAAACTGGTTGATGATGCTAACCAGACTCTCGTTGCCGAAAACGTCATTCCGGTGGGTTGGGCTCCCGGATCTTCTTATAAATCAGCCGTTAGCACTTTTACCTAATTCATCACTTACATGTATACAGTAACGAATAAGGAAGGGTGGAACATTATCCAATTCCATGTGAACTCGATTGTAGTGTAACATATAATAAAAGATATAATCATTCATATAGAAATAAGAATCCCACAATGTATATATTCATGTATCCGTATACCATATAATAAACAAAAGATGATGTTGATGTTGATGAATTTCTTCGTACGTACACCGTCACCACGTGCTGGGCTGTTTAAAGTACTATGTTATGGATTTGATGAGGACTCTATCTGATCACAGGTTAGCAGAACATCATGCAACTAGAAACACTAAGAGCCTCTTTGATAATGCTGAAAATTATACGCATTATGTAATTGCATACAGAACACTTATATGGAAAAAAGATAAACAATCATTTTCAGCAAAATCAACCATTTCACTTAGAAATATATTTGGTCTATTGTTACATATTTATGGAATTTTTTCTTCTTTTAGGGCGGAGAAACCCAGGTGTCAAGATTAATTAGTTGGATTAAATCTCATCTGCATGTATTAATCCCTAATAATAATCATACCGTAAGGCTCATAATGCATAGAATCTGAAATTCAGAGTAATAATAAAGCACCATATTAGGGATTTAGGGGAGGACTCATTTATGGAAATGGACCGAAACCGGGCTGGTACAGAGCTGGTCCAAAGTACCTGGAACACGCCTGTCAACCCCTAGGTACTATGTAGTGCAGAAAGGAACTGAACGAATCATCAGATCAGTTTGACGATGCCAATGCTACAACATCAGTTAGAGGAGTCACCAGAGGCAAGTACAAGCTGATCTCTGGTGAACTTGGCTCGAAGAAACCGAACTTCTGCAACATCCGGTTGATTAAGTCACCGGCACCAAATGAAACTCCTGAGACCATGAGGCCCAAAACAACGTAAAATGTGATGCTCTTAAGATAAGGTTTGGGCGGTCTTTGGGCATAGGCCTTTCCAATTGCCAAAAGTATGATGCATAGTAGTGAAGCCGTTGCAGCTGCAGCTAGCTTGAGTTCCCTGACATCATTGCTTGTGCGAAACGAGAAGGCGTACACAGTTGGAGGCACTAACCCAAATAGGGTATATGAGAGCAAAACTACAATGGTGTGGATCATGAAATTCTTTCTTTTGCCAAGCAGTTCTGTATACCGATCCGGTTGCTCCGTAATTTGGTGAGATGCCTGCTCAATGCAACCTTTCTTTAACTCCCAAAGCTGTTAAAAATGATGTTCAATTTAAAATATTTGTACACCCATAACAAGCATGATGAATAAATAATAAATTGATTGGATCTTATATTGATCAGGATATCAAAATGACAAACCAATCTTACATTATTTAGGGCTATGAGAAATCCCCCGATTAAATTAGCGAGGCCCAGGGCTAGAATGTGCACTGCAGATAAGAAAGAAGGAACCATCAGTAACTAAATAGTCGGTTAAGATTTCAAGGGATGCCTCGATCATTATATGCCATCCGACCTTTCTGCCAAACTTATGATTAATCTGGGTAGTGCATAGTAGACTACATACTATTTTGTGCTGTGAATCATTGTGGATTGTACTGTGTTTTTATACTTCTTTAACCTGCCACATGATTAGCTTTGAATGATTCACTCACATAACTAATCCATAAGGCACTTAGGGCAAACCACACGCCCACACTAAAAGATTGAATCTAATCTATTGACTAGTTCAACCAAAGGTTTTACTAACTCATCAATTACATTTTTTATTTTTCATTGTGGGACTTCAACAACCTACGGTGGCATTCTTGTAAATTCTTTGCTGCTACTCATTTTCTTCATGCTTCTTTCTTGTATTTGTTCATAACCGTGCTCTTTTTTTTTGCTCATTTTCTTCTAAAGGATGTTCATTTGCATTTGCAGGAGGTTAGATTAGCATAGCACATTAGCACATCTGAAGGTACTACATATGAATATCAATAATATGACCTAGACTTTTAAAATTACTTACATGTACTAGTATCACCACCAGCAGCAGATGACACAATGCTTAGGCTTGTAATTAACTCGGCTAAACCACCATATACAATGCTTTTGATTATTTCAATTTTGTTCCCTTCTCTTGCATTGCCTCCTTGCTCCATCTCATGTATTTGGGTGGCTAGATGTGGCACATTAACTGATTCTGCAGAAGCAGTGGGCCCTTCTTCTACAGTTATAATGGTATCCTTACCTGATTCATCATCATCATCATTACCGCAGTGCCGCAAAGGCTTACACCTACGGTGGGGTAAGGGGGGTCGGATGTACGCAGTCTTACTCCCTGTACTAAAGCACAGAGAGACTGTTTTTGAATGACCCATAGTGCACTCAAATTATTATTAGAAGCATTATAACAAACATCAAAATTTAGAATGGCATGTGGTTGGTATGCTCAACTCATCAAAAAAGAAAAAAACTTTATATGTTTGTTTGATCACTTTGAGACGCTAAACATATCCCACAAGATCGTTAAAGAACACTAATCTTCTCTCTTGTAATCTTTTTTAAAAGCTCCAAGCTTATCACCTTTCAGATGATACCTCTATCGTTCTAAAAAGAGTTAGGCGCTAGGCCAGACTGGCATAAGGAAATGCAAGAAACTAAGATGAAGTACAGCCAGATACCTTTATCTTCATGAGCATCTGTTGAAATATCAAACTTAGTAACACCTTCTGATCCTTTAAGTACAGAAACTGGTGATATCAGTGAGATTACAGCTTCATCATCTGTGCATGCACCATTTAAAGGCACATATGGATTCTCCCATTTAATTTAAAAGTCCAAACACGAGTTTATAGATGGAAATGCAAATGCTTACATTACCTGAACTTTTGTTTTGCACTTCCCTATCGCATAATTGGTCAGCTTGCTTCTTCCCCAGACTCAAAGACTGTGCATCTGAGGTTACCAAAACCTTCAGTCCAGTTTGGGTTGCTGACAAACTACCCTCTACAAGTCTCTCAGCAATAACTTGACTTATGTCATCTCCAGTCCGTGACTCATTAATTGCACCACTTACTTTGACTTCCTTTGATACATTTAGTTGATGATTGGTATCTACTTTAAAGTGATTGATGATCAGATTCCCTGCACCAACATCTACAGATAAGAAAAGAAGATGATTATAGAATGCAGGACGTGAATTTCTTATGGTATAATATCATCCCTTCGTCCCGAAAAGAGTCTCACAACTCAACCAAGCTCCAAGCTTTACAATTTATGAGTGGTCACTTATGCCCCTAAAACTTATATCACAATTGCTTGGAGTGATTTATTAAAATCGCTTAACATTTGGCTTTACAGTAATTTTAATTTAAAATTAAACTTGATATTTACTTATTTAGAACTTATCTCTTTTTGGGATAAAGTAGTTCTTGGACATGTCTATTTTAAAAAATGACGAATATATCACTAAAATAAAAGTTGATTTTGACTAAATTGTGACTATTTCACCTCAAGTGGCTACGATGGTGTTCAGTTTTACTATCTCGTGACTACAGTAGTATTTTTGGTATATTGGCACCGACTGTTGTAATTATATAGTTATATGTTTATCTAAAAAAATTATCTTAGTAATCTTATCCGGAAAAAAACACTTTTGGGGGGATGGATAGAGTATATAACACAGAATACTTAGACATAGTACCTTGCTTGTCAATAATTGCACGGTCCGATATACCGACTGTGCCCATCACATTGTTTTCCACTCGTTTAGGCTCGTTGTTATGAGAAATTAAGCTATTAGCTTCAGTTTCCTGACACTCAACATGAATAGGTGGACTTGTTTCTTCATTATTGGGTTTCTCCGCTCCTGAACAAAGTTTAACCAGTGAAATGCAGGTCCTTGCCATATCAAGATAATACCCAGTATTTATCTACTGATTCCGCTATAAGGACTTGGCAAAGAGGTTCATTCTATTTGTTTTATATATACAGCTCATTATCTAATGTATTAGTTAAATACAGGATGAAAGTATTATAGTAACTTAGAATTACATTTTCCAATGCAAGAAAGAAGATGACGAAAATCTATTAAAAGACAAGAAGGAACTCAGAATACATGGTGCATCACAAAAAAAATCACCTTGATCAGCAAACCCTCTTCCTTTATCTGATACAAAAATTGAAGAAAACCAACTTTTCTTCATTTTCATTCCTTCATCATCTCTCGCATTTTCTTTGCCACCTTTCTCACCAAAAATTTGGAACAACTTGAAGCCGCTCTCTGAGTGTAGAATCATAACAAAGGATGAAATTTAACATGAATAGTACGATAAGGAAATTGAGCGAAACAAACACAGATACTCCTAGAAATGCAAACTTGGGTACATGGAAACTATATACTATGGGGATGCTGGAGTGCTTTTATGAAGATGCTGTGTCCACCCTATCTCATTGAGTGTTACTTATTCTATTTAAAACCCATCACACTACACTAGGCCAGTCTATAAAGCATCAGACCACACTAGACCAGATGTTATATGCCTGTCAACATACGTTCAAATCAAATTAGACTGGAAGCGTCTCGACTGAACCAGACAAAAACATTCATATCAAATTTTAAAAATTCAAACCAGAACTTAAAAAAGTACAGCGGAGATCACATTATTCTATGCGAAAATGATAGGCCCTAGTTACTTAGTTACTCTTTCATAAGATGGTGAGTTACCTGTTGGGGTAAAGAAGCTGAAACATGATAAACATCTAAATACCCCTCTTTCACTATTGTAGTCATCTAATATCGGAGTATCCTCGAGATTGATAAGAGGATCATCATGACCATGATCACTGGTCACTTGCGTCGGATAAGCTTCATGTTCAGATCCAAATGAAGACTCAAATTTATTTCTCTTAGCATCTTCACTAGAAATTCGATTCTTTCGCTTTCTTTTACGAAGAATAACTCTTCTGGTTATACAGGAATAGCAATTTGGGCAGTACAGATCGTGAGTATTCTGCTTCTGGAGCACACTCTCGACATCATAATCATTTGGGTCAATTTCACTATCAGTTATCTCGTCAACAGCAACTGCTTCTATCTCTTCAACAGTTGATGATGTCTGAAATGTACTAGGTACTTGAGGTAGAGTTTGAGGATAATCAAGATCAGAAAACAGACTCCCGTTGACAGAGACGTGTGATGCATTTCTACCATTGCATTCTTTTATTGATTGTGTAGGCATTGATTTTCCATCTGTAGTTGCACACAACACATTCTTAATTATTCAAAACTTAAATATGTTCAAATTTAACATTAAGCAACATATGAAGACAAACAGGTAGAGTAACTATTAAGATTTGGGGTGCCATTTTAAAAACTTATATGTGAGTTTGATGCCACATTGGAGCAGACTAACCTCAAAGTATATCTGCCTATTCTTGAATCTCAGCGGTCAAATTTTTTGTAAGAACTTAACATAGCTCCATGCCACCATATTGAGACTCGAGGCTCCATCCTCAAGTGATCGGAGACCATACATGTGATTTGTATTTTTATATTTAATGAGATGGTTTAGCAGTAACATGTTATTTAAAGCCCAAAAGAATAATAGTTAAACAAGATAGGACAGTAATGAGTAATGGACGCAGCTATTTGGAAAGTTGATTTTGTGTGAAATGTGAAATTTATTCCTGGACTATTCTCTCTCTATCTCTCTGTTGTTATTCTTTGGAAACCCTAATTGCAGGTCGCTGAGCCCTAGTACTTTCTACAAAGCGCATTATTTACTGACCTTGGGTTTCAAAACTGAAATATAACCCATAGTGGTCTAAGGTTTTGTAATTCAGCAACTTATGAAATTGCCTCTTGGGCATATGAGGGAGACCAAAGCAAACACTTCCACTTTGGTAGTTCAAACAGCAGACTCGACATTTCCATACTCCTTCAGTCAAACAGAACAGTGATTGCAATTTTAGAATTCCAAATTAATAATACCTTCCAAGTTTAAAAAATTAAAATGTAATCTTTTTAAGCCCGAGTTTGTCCAGTTACAGGAAAACTGTTTAAAGAATCAGAGAAGTTATCACAAGGTCGTATAGCACTGTGCGGATAAAAACCCAGCTGACAAAGATTAAAAAAGCAAATATTGGGAAAATGGAAGCAAAAGTCAAGACTCTTGAACTCACTGTGCACGATTGAAATTATGAGTATATTCTTGATTCTTGACAGGATTAGGCAAATCAAATGAGTTAAACAAGAACAGCAAATGCCGAAGAATGGGTCCCTCAATTTAATTGAAAAAAAATTGAGATATGAGGTCGGGGTAAGTCTTAAGGGATGAAGTGGGGTATAAGAAGAACAGCAAAAAAAATCTCTGCCCTACAAAAATAGACAGCTAAGAACAAGAAGAAGATAGCAGAAAATAAAGGGAAAAAAAGAAAAAGATGACATTATTAGATTATTGTTTCTCACCATCATCTTTGTCATAGGAAACACAACTTTGTAGTCTTGGCAGATAATCTTTGAGATGAGCTCCTTCTTCAGCTCTATCGACTTGTGTAGGGCTAACAAGCTCCTCGACCCTTTTTTGGTCACCGTCAAAGGTTGATTCTTGAGCTCCATTTTCAGTCACAGAGAGTAAATCTGCATAGCCACTTTTCTCAGCATGGCAATTTTTCACTACTTTGGGGATTCCCCTTTCTGCATTGGACTTTGAGCTTCTAACAAGCAACCCATCTTCTTCTTCTTCCTCTTCTTCTTCTTCCTTTACCAAATCTTTTGGCTCCCTCTCGTGCCCTTCATTCTCCATTTTCAAACTAAGCCACTCTGTGGGAGACTGCATGTGGGTCACAGTTGGGGAGCTTGCAGTTACGGAATGATGCTAGAAAGGATGTAAATTGTGCAGCAAAAAAGATGGCAAGATTAGCATATCCATAGGAAAAGATATTTTATTCTAAGGGAATGTGTATATTTGTTTCAAAGTTTTTGAGGTAGTTCTGTAACATTTAAATTGATTGAAGTAAAATTGTGGAGTCCTAGTTAGAAAAGTAACTTCAATCTTACTTTTTTATGATGTATTATACGATTTAGTTGCAAAAGCAAAAAATACGTGTTTTTATATAAAGTTTGGGGTATATGTTACATGTGCAAGTTTGAGGTACTTATCTCACGCACCTTCAAAGTTTGAGATATTTAAAAGAAAAAGTTGACAAAGTCTAATGAGGGCGGAGAGAGTTTGGTATTTTGAAGTTTGCTGGACTTTCTTTTTTGGATGCATTTAAGAGTTTAAAATACTATTTATTTCATATTTCATACTTTTACACTCTCTCATACTTTGTTACACTATTCATTACTCCTGTTATTTTCCTCTTTAAATAATGTGTCAAAACCTAGGCAAATTATATTGTACACTCGGTTGTATAGTGTCACCGTGCGATCCGGTATTTTATGTTAAATGAAATGACTGTAACATTTTTTTGAAAGTGACTGTAACATTTAAAACAAACGAGTATTGGTATTAAATTATAAAATTAGCACAATAAATATTTTGATGATGATATAGTTAAATGAATAAGTTTATTTGTAGCATATATATTTCATGTAGAACATGATACTCAATTGCATGCTTCTAGTAATCAATTGTGCTAACAATACATTTATTTAGTTCAAATACTCATTTCTTTTAAATGTTATACTCATTAAGCATAATATAAAATAACCGATTGTACATTGAGCACGGTACAACTAGGTTTACAATGCACGCTCACAAACCTAATGTAGCAATCTTTAAAATATGGATGGAGAATCAACAAGTAAATTAAATATGGCATCACAGTGTGTATATTTTAGAAATAATCACATGTAGTATTTATGACTAAAATAAAAAATGTTTACAATAATGTGACTTGTGACTAAAGTAGTAATGAAATCATAGTAATTTATGTTCAATTTTTAAACTTAAATTACCATGACACTTTATTGTAGTTACTATTAGTCATATTTTTAATTTTCAAACATACTCTTTATTCTTAGGCCCAACTGCAATTTTGTTCCCTTCAAAGAGGATGGAAAAAAGAACATAATCCGTCCTTGCGTTGTGTAGTCGTGTAGGTAATAATAGCGTGTCACAACTCACATGAGCTTATTACTTTTTTAAAATGTTTTACGGAGTATTTTTTATACTCATTCGACTTCTTTTAGATGAAAAATAAGAATACTAAAAATATAGGAAAAACAATTTAAATACTCTAAACTTTGATGAAGTGTAAGATAAGTACTCCAAACTTTCATTTGTAATACATATATGTCGGACTTTATATAAAAAGTTATTTTCGCATCATAATTGTATCTTTTTTACAAATACAAATTTATTTGAATAATTACATAATTTAAAATACTCTAAGCTTTGTTAGAATGCAGTTAACATTGTAAAATTTCATTTGTGAAATAAATAACACTACATTCGATACAATTTAATTTTAATTGCATCCTCACAAATGTTTTGTATATTTTAAATTTTGTACTTAACGCTATAAAAATTACATTTGACAAAAAATATATGATCGTGATGCTAACATAACTTTTTATATAAAGTTTGGGGTATATATGTTACATGTGCAAGTTTGGGGTACTTATCTCACGCACCTTCAAAGTTTGAGATATTTAAATTGTTTCCCCCTAATAATTATGTGGTTTATGCTTGTGTAGAGCAGAGAGAAATGAGCAGAACTATAAATTAGTTACTTTAACAAGAAAGTGACAAAGTTTTTTAGGACAATCTAAAAGGAAAAGTTCACAAAGTCTAATGGGGGCGGAGTGTAATACCCGAGATTAATTTAAGAGGATTAATAGTACTACTCATAACAACAAGATGCATCTCCTTTTAAGGGAGCTCATCACCAAGAACTCCAAAGTTAAGCACGGGAGTAGTCTTGGGATGGGTGACCCCCTGGGAAGTTTCTCAGGGTGCGCACGAGTGAGGACAAAGTGCGCGGAAAAGGCTAGTGGAGGTTTGTGAGGACAGTACTAGAGGTCAGAAGTAACTACCTCGGGGCCTACGGGGCCGGGGTGTTACAAATGGTATCAGAGCAACCCTGCGACAGTGTGATGATCCGTTGGATATCGGACGGGCACTTAGCAGGGGAAAAGATTCTGGGATATGATTGAGATTGGTTTATGGGCGCAACGAGGACGTTGCGTTCCTAAGTGGGGGTGATTGTAATACCCGAGATTAATTTAAGAGGATTAATAGTACTACTCATAACAACAAGATGCATCTCCTTTTAAGGGAGCTCATTACCAAGAACTCCAAAGTTAAGCGTGCTTGCACGGGAGTAGTCTTGGGATGGGTGACCCCCTGGGAAGTTTCTCAGGGTGCGCACGAGTGAGGACAAAGTGCGCGGAAAAGGCTAGTGGAGGTTTGTGAGGACAGTACTAGAGGTCAGAAGTAACTACCTCGGGGCCGGGGTGTTACACGGAGAGAGTATGGTATTTTGAAGTTTGCTTGACTTTCTTTTCTGGATGCATTTAAGAGTTTAAAATACTTTATATTTCATATTTCATACTTTTACACTCTCTCATACTTTTTTACACTATTCATTACTCCTGTTATTTTTCTCTTTAAATAATGTGTCAAAACCTAGGCAAATTATATTGTACACTCGGTTGTATAGTGTCACTGTGCGATCCGGTATTTTATGTTAAATGAAATGACTGTAACATTTTTTTGAAAGTGACTGTAACATTTAAAACAAACGAGTATTGGTATTAAATTATAAAATTAGCACAATAAATATTTCGATGATGATATAGTTAAATGAATAAGTTTATTTGTAGCATATATATTTCATGTAGAACATGATACTCAATTGCATGCTTCTAGTAATCAATTGTGCTACCAATACATTTATTTAGTACAAATACTCATCTCTTTTAAATGTTATACTCATTAAGCATAATATAAAATAACCGGTTGTACATTGAGCACGGTACAACTAGGTTTACGATGCACGCTCACAAACCTAATGTAGCAATCTTTAAAATATGGAGGGAGAATCAACAAGTAAATTAAATACGGCATCACAGTGTATATATTTTAGAAATAATTACATGTAGTAATTATGATTAAAATAAAAATTGTTTACAATAATGTGACTTGTGACTGGAGTAGTAATGAAATCATAGTAACTTATGTTCAATTTTTAAACTTAAATTACCATGACACTATATTGTAGTTACTATTAGTCATATTTTCATTTTATATTTGAAAACCTATTTTCAAATAAAATTAAGCAAAAGTACAAAGCGCATATAAGTAAATAATATAGGTTTTCTAAAAATGTAACGAAATAAGATTTATGTGTAAAAATGTGACTAAAGTTACTATAAATATATTTTCATGGTCGTTACGGTAAATAAATTGAACATATTTGTAGTCACTAAAAGTTACTAAGTCATTTTTTTGTCCACCATGATTATAATTGTAAATTAGGAATTAATTAATATATTATATTGATTTTATATTAAAGTTATTTGTTTCGGGTTTTTATCAGTCTGGGCCGTGTTATAGATTTTAGGGCCCGTTAATGAGCCCAAAATTTCGGGTTCGGTCCAGTTTTTTAATTCGTGCTGGTTAAATAGAAAAACCCGGACTGATATCATAATTCGGGCCGGGTTAGGATCGGTTTCCGGGTTTTGGTTCGGTTTTTTCACCCCTACATAAGAGAGTCATATTAGTAGGCCTGTCCCCGGTTCGAAACCGAACCGACGGTTCCCGATTCTCAAAATGCTCAAACCGGAATTGAAACCTTGAAGGGCCGGTTCAAGGCGGTTGCGAACTGCCGGTTTTGGTTCCATTCTGCGTTTTTGTGTGTTTATTTAGGTTATTTATATAATTATATGTATTTAATTAAAACATTAATATATAAAAACATTAAAGATGTCATAGCAATCTTTAGAAGTCAGTAGTTTTAAAGTACTTTAGTTATTTGTAAATTATGTATTCTTATGACTATAATTTGTAATATCACAAGTATTTTAACTAGTAATAACTAAAAAAAATACTAACTAATACTCATTGTTTGTTATTTTTGTTGTTAGTACAATATACAAGTACACTTTTCTTATTATCTTTATGATGATAATTTTTTATATATAATATACACACATATTAATAAAAAAGCGATACGAAATCGGAACCATCTAATAGATTCGGAACTGCTGGTTCAGATTCCACATTTTCAGAAAATTAAACAAGACTAGTAAACCTCTTACCTCTGGTTCTAAACCGGTGATACTATGCGGTTCCGGTTCCACTTCAAAAAATCGACGGTACCAGTTGAACCACAAACTATGGTCAGGTCTACATATGGTCTCCATAAATCTATTCCCCAGAAGAAAGGGTGAATGTATGCGTGTGTGGAGAAAAACTAAGAGCCTATTTGGTAACATTGAAACTGACAGAGATGATTCTGATGAAATTTATGAAGTTTTATTTGAAATGGATGGATCAGCTAATTCTGTTGATATATGAAAAAATGATATTTAAAAATAGTTTTATTAATAAAATATAGAAAAAATTATATGAAAATAGCTAAAATGACCTTCTACAGTAATTTCAATCAATACAACCAGAAAAGTAACGTCAACCTTACTTTTTCTTATTATTACACAATTGAGCACACGATATCAAAAGTTATGTGTTTGGTAAAAAAGTTGGTTGATAAGCCTGATAAGTCGAAAAACAGAGTCACCAAACGGACTCTAAAACATTTATGTTTTTGTTATAACTTTTTTATTTTTGTTTCAATTCTTACGAAAATTATATCAAAATTTATACTCGGTAACTTTTTATGATCTTTCATATAACACTAATATTACATATATAAAGTTCAAAAAACAATATAAAGTTTCAATTGCCGGAGATTTTATACCCTAAAAATTTCTTAAGTAGACTCAAGTGCTAAAA